ACAATGGGCATTAATGGAAACCTTCATGCTATGAACTTTAGAGAAGAAAACAAGGCAAAGTAATTTTGCAACATCTGCATAAATAAAAAATCCAAACTATGATGCATTAAAAATTTGTAAGAACTTTATCAAAATTAAAAACAAGGAACCAGAAAGGTGGTTCAGTGGTTAAGAGTACCTATTCCTCTTGCAAAGGACTTGAGTAGTTATATGGTGGCCTACAGACAGCCCTAACTGCAGTTCCAAGAGATCTGACTCCCTCTTCTGAACTCTGCAGGGACTGTGCACACGCATGTTGTACATACATACATACATTCATACATACATACCATACATACAGGCAAGCTAAACATTCATACACATAAAATATATCAGAAAAAGATACTTAAGACATTTAAGGTGGGTGTGGTGCCACAGTTCTGAAATTCCAGCACTTTGGAGATTGCAGTAAAATGATTACAAGCTTCAGTTTAGCTTCGGCTAAATATTAAGCCCCAAGGTACTACTTAGTGAGACCTCTCTCAAACAAGCAAGCAAGTAAGCAAGCAAGCAAACAAAAGCAAAACAAAAAAAAACCAAAGGGCAATGGATACAGTTGCAACATAACCCTTGTACTCAAAGCTCAGGGGACACTGTGGAAGAGAGGGCAGAAAGATGGTAAGAGTCAAAGGACCAGGAAGCCTGCTCTGAGAGCAGGTCTCTTAGAAACAACAAGGAAGCCATATCTGATTCCTCAGTGGATGCCTAAACAAGACCTAATACAACACCAATAGGTTCTAAAAGGAAAGAGAATATTCAAAAGACCAGTCCCTTAGGCAAAGAACTATAGGCAATTGATGAAAGAGAAAGAAAATCAGTCTTCCTCAGAGATGAGTCTCCTAATTGGTTATCCAACACCAAATGATCAATTCTGTAGTCATATACATACGAGGAACACTAAACAGATTCAGCAGGTTGTATCTATATATTTATGCATATACATAGGTAATAATAATAATTTTTTAAAGGTCATGAAGAAGCAGTGGTGGTGCATGAGAGGGACTAGAGGGTAGAGAGGGAAGGGGGGACTGAAGTAATTACATTTTACTTTTAAAAACATGTAAAGGGAGGGGGTAGCAAGATAAAGGTCATTGCAACCAAGCCTGACAACTTGAGTTTGATCCGCAGGTCTCACACAGTAGAAGGAGAGAACTGACTGTCTCAAGTTGTTCTCTGACCTCAACATGCATGCTATGGCATGTACAATTAAAAAAAAAAAACAAAAACGAGTAACTGTAATACAAAACTGAAAATAACAACAAGAGACAACCCTGCACAAAGCTGAAATCTCCCACTTCCATAATTCAAATACTATCACAGAGCCATCATAAAACTATCTAACAGAATAGAGAACTTGGAAATAAACAATCACAAACACCATCACCTGCTGTTCTATAAGGATGTCAATACCATCTAATTGGGGGAACAGTCTCTTCAACAAATGGTTACAAATAGCCTGGATATTTTACACATATAAAAATAAAGTTAGACTCTTACCTTAATCAATACATACAAATTAAGTTAAAAAGTACAAAAGACCAAGTAAGACCTAAGACTGGAAAGCTATTAAAATAAAGGAGAGTTTACTGACATTGGATTCACTATGATTTCTTAGTTATAACACCTAAAACATGGGTGACAAATATAAAAACAGATTAATTGTACTACAAGATTTAAAAAAAAACCCATGCATTAAGACACAACCAACAAAGTAAAAAGACAACCTACAAAATGAGAGAAATATTTGAAAGTCATGTGTGTGATAAAGGAAGAATACTTAGAGTATATAGAGCTCTAGCCATTCAGTAACAGAAAGATGACAAAAACTGATTTTTAAGAAAAGGAGAACAGTTTTTCCAATAACTAACAAGAATATTTAGATACTCAACATCACTACACTTTAGGCAATACAAATCAACCATATCATCTATGAGATGATTGATGTTTTCAAATATTAAGTACACATAAAGCTTTGTATATAATATATACCATTAACAAGGATATGGACAAACTGAAACACTTATGTACTATTAAATGATGAATAAACAAAATGGGATATATAATAGTTTCACATTCATAGTCAACTGCAGCCAAAAATACTATATAAAAAATTCCAGAAATAAACTGAACTATTAAACTGAACACGTTCTAAGTGGCATGATGAAATCTCATGTCTTACGGCCTCCTACTGGTATATTAGGTCTTCCTTAGCCAACACACTCACACTGCATACATACACTGCCTGCCCATTGGTCACTCAGCAGTTGTCTCGGCTATCAGGTCAATTATAGCACCATAGGGCTTATGTTCAAGTCCTTTCCTCCTTAATAATGACTGTATGCTAAGCAGCAATTCTAGCAATTTGAATAAGCCAACAAAAAGAATTTCCTTAAGCTTTAGTACAATAAGATATATTGCAAAACTAGATTCATGTAACTTTTATTATTATATAAATGTTATATACTTATAATAAAAACTGGGATATTCCTCCTAAAAAGGGAAATTATAGCACATGCCTTGACAGGAAACCAGTCTTGAGGATATTATGCTAAGTGAAATAAACAAATAGGTATCTAGAATGGTCAGATTCTAGAAACAGAAATAAGGATGGTGGTTTTCAAGGGCTGAGGGTGAGGAGAAACGAGATGTCGCTGTTTCATAGCTACAGCATTTTAGTTTCATAGGATAATGAAAGATCTAGAAACTGGGTAAAAACAATGCAAACAAATACAGCACTCCTGGAGCTGCACAGAAGCACAGTCCAGGTGGCAACTGTATTTATAGGTATTTTATCCAATTTTTTTTTAAAATAAAAGGCACTTAGCAGAATGGGAGAAAATATCTGTAAATAGTACTAATGCTCATAAAACTCATAATGCAGCAGGAAAATAATCCAACAAAATGTATATAATTTGAATAGATATTTTATCAATGATATACACTGTCGTATGAGCGCATGAAAATATTCTCAAGCTCAGTACTATCACCCTACAACAGAATGTCACTAAATACTATAAACAAATCAACCAGGCATAATGGTGCATGCCTTCCATCCCAGCACTTCAAGGCTAGCCAGGGGTCCACGGTGAGACAGCAAAAACTCTTAAAAATATTTATAACCACACAACACGGAGTAATCTCAAAATAACCAGGCTAAAAACAAAATAAACAAACAAACTTATAATAGTGAGATTTATTTATTGTATAAATTAATTTGTTTAAAAGATGCCATAAATGATGCACATAATTGATCCAATGATAGAAATAACTAATTCTCTCCCCATGACTGCATGTGTGAAAGTATAGTGGTTCAAATTTAGAGCCAATAGGAACTCAGAAACTCGCATTTTCATTGTAGCATCTAATTAAATATAGAAAAAATATAAGGCTCTGAACGTTGACCCCACACCAAGCATGCCAAGCTCTCTATCAGTGAAAGGGCAGGAAGAAGTACCCCAGAAAGCAGTGCAGACATCATCTCTGCCTGTACCTGCAATTTTTATTGTCGTCTTTATTCAATTCATCTGTGAGTTAACAAACAGAAATATGGGAAATGGCTTATAATAGTTTGAAATGATATGCCATTAGAAAATCTATTCTTCCAGGCATTGAGCAGTGCTAGTAAATCCTCAAAATGTTCTCTGAATGAAACACGAAAGAACAAAACTGCTCTGTGCAGGCATTGGTCAGTTCAGGGTTCTAATTCCAGCTTAATGTACACTAAGCTGTGCAGCACTGGTTACGTCGCTTTATTCTGTTTCTTTACCCAGAAAAATAAAGAGAGACAGAGGGAGAGAGAAAGAAAGAGTGAGGGAAAGAGGGGAGACCGACGGACAGAGATACACACAGAGAGAATAGGTGTTCAGGAGCAGAATAACTGTAATCAGCAGGTCAAATATAAGGACAGGAAATTTGCAGAATAGAAGAAAGCTTTACACACAGTAACTTACCAAGAACTCAATGCAAACAAGCTTTTAGTGAGCAGTCTAGAAGTGTCTAGAGTGTCTTCTAGAAACTTCTAGCAGTCTAGAGTGTCTTCTAGAAACTGTCAAATGCACGACATATAGAGATCAGTAGCTGTTAAGTCTCTACAACCGAGAGCATCAAGAAAAAGAAATAAAGTGCTGACTTGAAAAACTTCCAGTGCAGCTGATGAAGCAGCTAAGACCCCAACACAAGACCTACCAAGTTCAACTCACTTGGCACTCCGAGAAGGGAAGGCTGGAGGACAGTGAGCAGGGTACTTGGGAGGAAGCACTAACTGCTAGCTCACCTGTTCAACTTAGAAAACACTGCTATTTATATTAAAAACCACGGAGATTTTTCAGAGTGCATTTCACAGAGACAAACAAAACACAAGAAAATAGATTTTTAGAGAGACTAACCAAAGTTTTTATAATAGTTCAAATATTATGATAGTAACTGCAGCTAATTACAGTTTAAACACAAAGCCAGTCTTAGCAGAATCCTTAAAATAAACAGAAACACAAAAATCTGATACTGTCTTATTTGAAATGAATATCATATTTTTGTATAATTTTATAGTCTTATTTAAATTGATTATTATATTTTTACATGCTTCTTTTTTTAATTAATTTATTCATTAAAAATTTCCCATGCTTCTAAGAGTAATAAAAATCCCTATCTGTCTTCCAGAACTATAGTTCAATTGTATTTATTGATTTTAGTATTTGCTTTGGTAGAAAATATAGTTAGCTGCTACCTATATACTTGATCTGCTACATTTTAATTCAAAAAAAGCATAAATATCTTTTACAGAGGCAAAATGGAGTTTTGTTGAAAAGACATAAAAGATAAGATACTAGAAATTTATTCTAGGTTTCAGACTCTTAGATTTTGTCTTCATTTAAAGCAGGGCATTTGGGGAAAAAAGGAGGGGGGTTTTGCATGTGCAGGAGGGAATACGACATTTCTTCCAGACTTCCTACTTAGTTACTTACAGTGCTGATCACAATCAACTCTGGCAAACACTACTTGATTTTTATCTGGATATTCTTCCTTAATGACATCAGATGCTTCCTCAAAAATTGGATGCAACATCTGGCTGAAACGACACCTACACACAGACAAGCACACCAATTAGCAGGAAAACGCAGAAGGTACAGGTTCTTACTTCAGTTATCATTCATTGATGTTTAGTATATGTACAGTAAACAACTTGTGAGACAATCACACATTCAATTTAACCATGCTTCTGATGTCTGTCAATGAATGAGAGGAAACCGACTTGAATTAAGAGATCATACTCTCTAATGCAATATTTCATAAACTATCAAGTTGATTCGTTGTTTTGCCAATGTTTTGGTGAACGTAGCTACAGCTCTCTCACAGAAGTCATGATGTAAGCCTGCAACATACCGTCTTCCCTACATTGCTTAGGCTGTAACTGCTAAGATCTGAGTGTTTACAAAAGAAATCAGCTTTAACTGAACAATAAACATCCTTCCATATTACTGTACAAACTCTGAGTTTATTGCAAATGCTAGGTCAACCAACCCTACTATTCCATCAATTTCAGACACAAGTTAACAGACTAAATAAAAACAGTTCTTTCAAAAGACTATATAGTAGATAGTGAGTATTTTCCCTTCAAAATATAGTCACACATTAAAATAGGCCTTTATCTCTACAAACAGATAAACATACTATGTCCAGTAGCAAAAAGTTCTAATTTCTAAAGACTCCCTGACATTTTCCCCTCTCCCATCTAGTTATAAAAGTGGGGCAAAATATCCACAATATTCCAGTAAATTGTTACTTCTAATCCTCTCTGCCCCTCATTTGGCCAATAACTTCAGAAATCCATACTGTGTGTGATTAAAGGAACCTAACTGGGGTGTGAGAGGGGGTGGAGAAATAGTATATACATACAACCACATGAGGAAGATGGACATTTCATGGGGAAAGATACATTGAGGAAGATATGTAAAACACTGTAATTGCTACTATTGCTTTTAGAGCCCTTATATACCAAGACATTTTCTTGAAGAAACCCGTAACTTCTAATCCATGTGAGTTACACATATTAGCAATAACCCAGTGAAGAATATGTGAAAGGACGCAGCATTACACCTCCTCCCTATTTCTTCCTGTTTCTCTCTCTAGCCTACTCACCTGACTTCCTAAGGAGATGTCCTAGAATCTACAAAGGAGACACAATCTGTATCTTCAGACTCAGCTTTCAAATGGTTCTTTCCTCTTTAGCATCTTAAATCTCCCATCTGGGATACGAAGGGTCTGTGGACATCATGGACCATGTCTTATTTAACTACATATTCTAACAAGCGTTCAATAGACTCTGTTAAATGAGCTAGCTGATACATTAAAAAACTAGAGCAGTCAGAATCCAAGGTCTGCGAGTACTTAAAATTTTCTGAAAATAGACTAGGCAGAGGGCAGGGGAAGGCAGAGATGGTTTGGTTTGTGGTTCTGAGAATTTTAGCTGGGGACTACTTGAAAACAGATCTAAGGCTTCTGGCTCTGGAGCAAAGGAAGTCTCACATCGAAAGCTCCTCTCTGGGCTGTCCAATAAAGTTTTAAAGCAGATTCATATTTAAAATAGTATCTATTTGAGTAGTTTAAAGGGGGAAGTGTGTATCATTACTGCAGCTTTGTATGCAGGTAAACACTACATTCACACAGGTAACACCACAAAAGAAACAGAGCCATTAAAAAGCTTTCATGGTCTTCTGACCCAATCTTCAATTGGGGGCTTAAGGAATCCTTAACCAATCAACCACAGAGGTAACAAACAGACACTTTGGTGCCATTTACTATTATGACCTAGTGGGAGAGAAATAAACATTAGATTTAGACACACCTGAGTTTAAAGTGCCAGATTCACCACTTACTAGCCAGATGGCCTTTCTGAACCTCAGCTTCCCTAATCTAAAATGGAAATTACAATACCTAGCTGCGAGACAACCCTGAGCCTTATAACAATATACAGAGCATTACTAACCACCTACTCGGGTTTATTATTCTCTGTGGCATTATAGTGCTTCTAGGTAGCTAGCTACATAAGAGAACTAACTTCCAGAGAGAATAGAGTCTAGCCTTTGAAAGCAAATGCAGGAAACTTATCAGCAAATTACCCAAATTTCCTCAGTTAAAAAAAAGAGTGCAATTCATCATTAACAGTAAAAGACATTCTTTAGGTATATGTTTTCTCAAAGAGCCGCTGCTAGTCCACATTTCCAACTCAGATGTGCATGTACTACTCTGCTTTCTCATGCCAACCAGAACTCCTCACCCAAGAGCACTGCATTCTAGTTTGCCCTGTGCTACCATCTGGTCAGGTCACAGGGCAAGTACTTTGCTCCTCTGAATCTGAGTTTCCTTACTTGTGAAGTACATTGGACTAGATAATCTCAACTAAAATTTATGACTAAATCCTAATTTGCCTTGAGAAATGCTACCTCCACTAAGCATTTACATACGTGGTATTTTCCTGTGTATCTTCAACCTTTTATTATTAAAGTTTTTAAAATACCATATCATGCATCCATACACTCATTCAAGAGACATTGTTATGTACTTAAGAGTCACATATTTTGCAAAGTGTTGGATATGACATTTTAAAACAGTTATGGTAACTATCTCCACAGAACAAATATGATTATTTGGGAATCACCAACTAGATTGTAGCATGTGGACGGCTACAGCTGGGTAAGACTGGAGCTTCGAGAACTGCAGAATCTCCTTGACTTATAAATGGGCCAAGTTAAGGAATCTAATGGGAACTGAAAATATCTTAAGGCAAAAATGCATTAACTATGCCTACCCTTCAAACAGCACAGCTCAGAAACATGCACAGTGCAGATTATCAGTTTCTCTGCCTCATGAACACCTGTTTGGCTGGGAGCTAGACCTTGCCACCACAGCCCACCACAGAGGGAATATATACTGCTTGCTACTAGCCCAGACACAGGTCACAATTTAAAGTTCAGTTTCTATGGAATGCATATAATTTTTACATGAGAGTTACACGCTGAACTGTTGCACACTGAGCGACAGAAGGGTAGAAACACTGATACATGAAGATGTCTGGAAGAAAGCAGCACTCTAATCTACTATTTGAAAGATGATTAACAAATAAAGAAGTATTTGCAAACAAGAAGTGAGCCACCCAGGTTGGGAAGATGGCAGGAGAGTGGCATAAGAGAACACACTTTCACAGAATTGAAAGAAGTCTGGTGTGACAAACAGAATACGGGGGCAGAAAGAAGCAAGAGATGCAAGCGAGCAAATCATGAGGTGCCTTCTAGGTCAAGGCAAGGGGCTTAAATTTTAACCCAAAGATTCAGAAGGTTTAAGATAAGAGTATAAACTCAAATAATTTGCAGTGTAGGGAAGAAATCAGGTTTATATTACAGAGAGTATTGTGGAAATACATAATATAAAATATATAAATACATAATAAACTCTGACTTACACTGCAGAGAATACTGTGGACATATGTAAAACTAGAGGCATAGAAAACCCAGGGAGGAGACGGTTTCAGGGAACTAAGGAAACTGCAGGACCATAGCTAGCCCAAAGCAGGGTGGGGCAGCAGGCAGGCAATAAGCCTTTTAGGGAGTGGTTAAAAACAACAATGCCAGTGTTTCAATTAATACTCCGTCATTCCTATCTGCACCACACATTCTTTAGCATACTTAAACATCATACTCTAGATTCTGGGAATACTATGAAGTCTATTTGGTAGGACACAAACAGATTTAAAAACAGTATCTAAGTTGAGCATCTCTAGTCTGAAAGTCTGAAATTACAAATGATAAACAGTTTCAGATTTTGGAACAGTTCAGACTTTAGAGGTACTCAACTGCTAAAAGTCTATTACATATTCCAAACACTAAATCCCTTCTGAGACAAGGCACTTCAGATAGGGGATAATCAACCTGAAGTGACAAGAAAATGGTCCCAGAGTATCATGTAAACACAGAAGACAGGATCTGATTCAGAGCAAGAGCTACTGTCTCCTGGAGAAAAGTGTATAAGTTGAAAATATCAACGTTATTTTTATAAACTTGTCACACCTAAATTCTGACTTCCAACCTAGGCCCCCTTCTCATGGACAGGGAAAATAGAAAAGGAAGAAAGGATAGGAGAAAAGAGGTAGGGGGTTGGATAGGGGGACGACCAAATCTAAAACTAAAAACAAGATTACTTACCAGTCAGCATAAAAATTTACTAAAGCAACATCAGCATTATCTGAAATTGAAAAACAAACCAAAGTTACTTGTTTAAACATGTCTATGTGACATATTTAAATATACAATTCTCCTCATGATCTTTTCCTGTTAATAAAGGGACAAATAAAGATCCACAGTAATAATAACCTCTCACCAAGATGGCCACACATAAGGGTAGGGTTGGTTTATATATAACTTAACACTTTCTCTCTACCCTCCATAGATAAGAAAAAAAAACTTTCACTGTGTCTCAAATGAGTATAAGTCAAAAAAGAAATCAAATTCTGATTGGGCATGTCAACTTCCAAGCAATCCATTCTCATAAAGTGGGATGGTCTGCAGCTTAATAATTCGTTTTTAAATATCCATACACACGGTAACTGGAAACCAGTTCTGCAAGTAGAACTGTCTTCAGCTGAAGAGAGCAGAACAGTTAACCATTCCTCACTCTACGTCTACCTTGTAGTCTCTTCCTGCTGTTCTGAAGAGGCAAGCAGGTCTTCGTCCTTACCCTTCTCCTAATAAACTCTGCACTCAAAAACAAACAAAAAAACCCCAAAGTGCTGTAGGAGGTCATTCTGTATTTGTGCTGCTTTCATTGGTTGAATAAAGAAACTGCCTTGGCCTCTTGATAGGGAAGAGCTTAGGTAGATGTGGAAAAGAGAACTGAATGCTGGGAGAAAGAAGGGCAGTGTGGTAGATGCCATGGTTCTCCTGCCTGAGACTCATGCCGGTAAGTCACAGTCAAGCGATGCACGTTAATGGAGATGGGTTAAACTAATACGTGAGAGTTAGCCAGTAAGAGGCTAGAAATAATGGGCCAGGCAGTGATTTAATTAATGCAATTTCTGTGTGGTTATTTCAGGTGTTAAGCTAGCCGGGAGGTGGGAGGCAGTCCGCGCTCCTCCTCACAACAGCAAAGAAGTCTACCTTGTAGCATTATAAAATCTACTTGCCCAGTCCCTTCCCACTTAATACTGTCACACAAAAAACTCACTACTGAGATTCATATCTTAGGATGTGTCGAATCAAAAAGACACATTACTGCTTCTTTTGAATAAACCCAACACAGAGAAACTAAAACTCTTCCAGCACTCGTGAAACTAATACACAATGATGTGCCAGAATTTGGAAGGTAAGAGGGAGGAGAACAGTGTACACTTCAGGTTCCTCCCTTTACTTTGTACATTTGGTCCACTTGCCTGTTCATTCAAGCTGTGATTCACGAGCTGGTTTCTGGACCAGATGCTACAACATCACCCAGGAACTTACAGAAATGCAAATTAGGTGCAGCCTAGCAGCTTCTGCCAGGAAGCTGGCCAAACAGCACAAATATTAATAAGCCCTCAGTGTCTTTCCAATACCTGGTATATAGATATTCTATTGAGAGCTCATGAGGTGGGAATAGGTTCTTTTGATATTTAAAGCTTCATGAACAGAAAAAAAAAACTATGTTTTCAATTAATGCCTTTTAATTCCTCTTATCTCTAATCCACTTTCGGTTTTGATCATACGCAAACCAGTGACATGGTGTTTTGATTTTTAAGGAAGAAAGAATTACAGGCACTGCATACATTTTTAAATCTCCTGTCCTGCAAACACCTATCATATCAACCATGCACTCACCTTTCCTTTAGGATCTGCAAAAATCAGAATATCCCAAGTTAATTCTATGTATAATCATACAGTCAATAAACAAAACATTCATTAAAATGAACTTAACTGGATCAATGTTATAAAAGAGATCGGAGAATAAGTCATTTAATTAAAATGGGCTCTCAATATTTAGCAGAGTATAGTCAAAACTCTAGGGCCCTAGCAGACCGCCTAATGTATTGTCAGGCATTGTATCCACACCAGGACAAATAAACAAAAAAGTTAAAAATCTTCCAACCCAGAAAAGAGGGCACACATTTTAAAAAATTTTACTAATAATCAAAACCTAAAGTGCTTTTGTAAACTCAGTGAAAGGACCCAGAATGCCAGTTTGTTAATTATTGTAGATAATTAATAAATTTTAAATAAATAAATTTTATTTATAAATTTATAGAGAAGAAAATATACTTTAAAAAAATCAAGATACTTACTTAAAATTTCATCTATATTCTCTGAATCAAGACTTGTTATTTCAGCTGTAATAGGTGTAAAAATCGAAGTTACCTGAAAAATTTAAATATGTAAAATTAAAAACATTTCCATAAAAAGCAAAGCAGTCTAAAACAAATTAATAAAGTTGACTCTATTTGTTTTTAGAATATGTTCTACTAATTGATTGATTATTAGCTATCCTAACCTTCATTAGGTCAATAAAATTGGAAATATTTAACTTCCTGAGCCTAGAAATTGATCAAAGAATTCCAACACCTCCAAATAGCTTGTAAATAACTAAGAAAAATAGGAATTTATCCAGCTGTTTAGAAAGTAGTACTATAGAACTAAGTTCACTGATTCGCGCCTGCATGCATCTAAGAGAGAGACTGGGGAAGGCTGGAGGAAGACCTGATGGTAGTAGAGCCTTGCACTGCTTCCCCTTCTGTGATAAAGACACCAGGGTAAGTGTCAGAGAAAGGATGTTTCCACTTTCACTTTAGTGTGGAATCCAAGTTCTAGCTTGTCAAAGAAAATCAGCCTAACATCTGCAACACAGAGAAACGATGAAATTTTAAACCAAAGTAGCAAAGTTTCACTTATTTTTGAGAGTATTAATTATTCTCAGAGGATCCTTTGTCAGAGCAGAGTTCGTGTATGAGAATTCATTCACTGAGTCACTGCAGCACAGAGAGTGAAAACTATTGTCAGGTGCTAGTCAAATAACAGTCAGGCCCTCCTCTGGATGCTACCGCGGACACAGCTCTCACAACGCGACAATTCAAACTAGTAATTCGTCAATAACTCAACGATATACGGGCATGCTGATGCTAGCACTACTATAGGTTTACTCACTCATCTTAAAACAAGGCTAAGGCTACCACCAAGCTTGCCTCCAAGTCACCATGATATTTATAACCAATAACTTGACTACAACCGCCAGTAATAGATAAATCATTCTCTCTTAAAAGCAAGCTTAAGTGATTGGAAGTATCTAAATAATTTGATTTTAGAAATGTTTCAAAGTTAGTTGGGAAGAGTAGGTTCCTTCCTGTGACCACTTATTACTGATGTAGCTCAAGGCACACTAGGTTCTATCTGGCATTTGAGAAAACAGATGCAGAAAGTTTCTCTGCCCTTCTTCCTTCTCCCAAACCAGCCTTAAAAAAAAAATTCTCTGACCTAAAGAAGGCTGTATGACCCACATTAGCTTGAGCAGCGGTTCTCAACTTGCGCATTGTGACCCTTTTGGGGTTTGTATATCAGATAGCCTGCATATCAGATATTTACATAACAATCCATAACAGTAGCAAACTTATACTTATGAAGTAGCAACAAAATAAGTATATGGTTTGGGGGTCACTGTCACATGGAAAACTGTAGTTAGTAGTCACAGCCTCAGGAAGGTTGAGAATATCCTAGGCCTGGGGGAAAAAAATGGATCCCCACTTCTGAAAATGGAAATTCCAAGAAATCTGAACTCAGGCCTTGTTGGGGTCCACTTGGGACATACCCACTTCTTTCTACAGAACTCTGTAAAGTGAGAATATAATGTTTCCCTGCTTCTTTCTTTAGACTGTGTATTAAATAAGCCTGTCTCGGTCTTTTGCTACAGAGGTCTTAAAACTTAGAAATCTTCTCCTATACATAAACACCAAAAGAGTGTTCCCGTAGAGCAGGGAAGTAAATATCTTAATTAAGGGAGCCATTTTAGGGTTTGCAAGAGATTTGTCTCTAGAGGGGTTCCCAGGTCCAAGGAGAGGTCCCCAGATTGTTCCTTGGGCAGCAGAGGAGAGGGTGCCTGAACTGGCCTTGTCCCATAGCCACACTGATGAATATCTTGCATATCACCATAGAACCTTCATCTGGCGATGGATGGAGATAGAGACAGAGACCCACACTGGAGCACTGGACTGAGCTTCCAAGGTCCAAATGAGGAGCAGAAGGAGGGAGAACATGAGCAAGGAAGTCAGGATCACGAGGGGTGCGTCCACCCACTGAGACAATGGGACTGATCTAATGGGAGCTCACCAAGGCCAGCTGGACTGGGAGTGATGGAGCATGTGATCAAAATGGACACTCTGAATGTGGCTGACAATGAGGGCTGACTGAGAAGCCAAGGACAATGGCACTGGGTTTTTACTCTACTGCATGAACTGACTTTGTGGGAGCCTGGTTTGTTTGGATGCTCACCTTTACAGACCTGGATGGAGGGGGGAAGACCTTGGACTTCCCACGGGGCAGGGAACCCTGACTGCTCTTAGGACAAGAGAGAAAGGGAGAGGTGGAGAGGGGGAGGGAAAAGGGAGGTGGGGAGGAGGTGAAAATTTTTAATAAATAAATAAATAAATAAATAAATAAATTTTTAAAGAAGTGTTCCCATATACATTTATGTCCAATCTAACATAACTGTGGAACTCAATTATATTACAACAGTAAGGTTTACAATTGTGTGATGGAAAAAACCTATAGAAACAAACAAACAAACAAACAATCACAGAGCAATAATGCTGATTACTATCAAAGTCAAGTCATTAAATAACAGAATTTACCAAGTATCTATTAGGTAACAAGGGCACAAATGTCTATGGTATGATATAACTTGCCTCATAAGCTCTCAAACTAAAAGTAAAGAGAATGGCAAAATGTGTTAAATGCTAAGGCTAAAGATAAAACATGGGAGGAGTTGGAGGAGGGGAAAGCATGATCAGAATATACCATATGAAAAATTTTTATTTTTAATAAAAAGAAAACAAACTTTAACGAAAAGAAGATATGATCTCTGTGTAATCCAAGGAAGCCTCTTTTTCAGAAGTTACCTATTAAAATATACACTTTCACTGGACCTTATGGCATATGCCTTTAATCTCAGCACTTGGGAACCATAGGCAGATGAACAGAAGGAACTCTTTGTTCCAGGTCAGCCATGGCTACAGAGTAAGACCCTATCTCAAAAAGAAAAAACAAATGCTTACAGAAAGTAAAACATTTAAATTCTGAATTTAATTGTTTTTTTTTATTTTGAAATAGTTACATGACAATATATTTATATAATAGGTAATAAAGAAAATGTAGTAAATAGGCAGCCACTACTTAAAAACACTGTACTGGGACATATGCAATTGAGGAGACCGCATAGCTAGGAGATGAATTTGTTGCATGGACCCAAAGCAAGAGAAGTGCTTCTGACTCGATGATCTCTCCTCCCTCTAGGGAGTAAAGGGGGTTTTCTGTTGCCATTACCATTTCTATTAATGCACAATATGGAAAGTTTATTTGAATCGTTACCAAGCTCCACCAGACTGACAGATTGCTTCTCTTTATATCAGCCCTGGGATAAATAAAGGCTCTTGGGAAAACACCTTTATGCATCAGTTGCTATAGCATTCACATGAAATAAAAATAAGTGGGCACAGATAAGAAAGGAAGCAAGGACTCACTAGACTAAGTAAATGTTTCAATTAAAAAAAATAAACTAGAAATACACACATGCACATACACACAGAAGGGGAAGGGGAGAATTTTAAATAGTAGATCTTAACAGTCATGGAGACCACAGCCTCTAATGTAAAATATTATAAATGTCACAGGCAATATATATAAAGATGGACATAAACTCAAAAGTATTTTACAACTTAAGTTGTTCTCCCCAATTCTTTATATCATTTTTGTCACTACAACAGTGGAGAGAGAGATCTCTAACCATGTTCCACAATTCATTAGATAATTGTGAAACACACATTAAGTATACCAACTACTTACAAGTCAGTCTGAGACGTCTAGTATTGTGATCTTACAAAAAGAAGGGCATTCGAGTATTTAAATAAAATAAAAAACTCAGTATTTAAAAATCTTTCAGTGGGGCTAGTGAGACAGCTCAGTGGTGACGAGGCTTGCCACAAGCTTGATGGTCTCAGTTCAGTCTTTAGAACTAACATAGTAGGAAGAGTAAACTCACAAGATGTTCTCTGACATCCACACCATGTGGCAAGGCACTCATGTGGAAAAGAAGGGGGGAGGGAGGGACAAACAATATGTTTAAAATCTTCCAATAGTAGGAGCTTCTTTAGCATTACCTAGAGGGTTTTTAAAACTGAGGTTCTTGTGAAAACCACAAAATCCTTCCTTTTGTTACCCTCCCTCCCTTCCTTCCGGGCTACCTGCCTGGCTAGTGAAGCCAGTACTTGAAAAACTAGAACTATGCGGTGGTGGTGCATGCCTTTAATCCCAGCTCTAGGGAGGGAGAGGCAGGTGGATCTCTGTGAGTTCAAGGCCAGTCTGGTCTACAACATAAGTTCCAGGACAACTAGGACTCTTTCACAGAGAAACCCTGTCTTGGGAAAACACACACACACACACACACACACACACAACAACAACAACAACAACAACAATAACAAAACAACAAAATCCAAACACCTAGATCTTGTCCCAAGCATGCTCCACTTTTTGCTTCTCTATCTACACAAAGCCTACTCTATTGGGCACCCCTTCTAAAGTACCACACAATCATCCTTTAAGGTGTTTTTCTTCATAGAAAAATGGCTTTTCTTTCTCAATAGCCCCGTATGCTGAATGGTGTAGGAATATAAAAAGATCTGAAAAAGTAGTCGAAGTCAATAGGAACTACTGAGAAACTAAACTGCTCTTTAGATTAGCTATCACATTGAAATGCTGATTACATGCTAAAGTGAAGTATTTCAGGAATAAATTTGGAAAATGTTTTATTAACCACTCACTATTAAATCAAGTTTTAATTGCTGTAATACTAATATATATATCGGTCCTCACTGCTGCAACATGTGTGCATTCTGGCACCCAGTGTTAAGCCTCAGTGTTGTCTCTCTTTTTGAAAGAGGCACTAATCCATCAGGTCCTCCTTTAGATTAAGAATAAATCTTGAATTAAAAAAAAGAATGAATCAACAGTAATACTGAAGGTGAATTATTCTAAATAATTTTACATCAATTGTACATAATTTAAGAAATAAAAACAATTTCCATCCAAATATATTCTTAATGGGAACTATTATGAAGTCTCTAAACTGAGTATCCCACATGGAGGCCAAACTA